TGATCAATAACATCATATCTCACTGATCAACAACATCATATCTCACTTTAACTTTAACTCAAGTGCCTCTTACTAGCTTTTTACAGAGTTCAACTGTTTCAACAGTTTGGCTTCATGATAACTGGTCCAAAGAGCTAACTTTAAGCTAGCTGGACCTAGAAGTTGAAGCTAACTCTAAGCTAACTGGACCTAAAGGTTTACTGTAAACTACGTTGACGGAGAAGCTAACTTTAAGATAACTGGTCCCAGGAGCTAAACCACCTTCTAAAAGCACCAATCTGTCTAAATATCACGTTGAATGTTGTTTTTTTTAAAAAGGTAAATAAGTAGAAATGTAAAAAAGAGCAGTTAAATAACTTATATGTAGTTATGATTGTTAACTTCTCTTTTTTATTTATTTCACTGCTCTCAGAAAACCGAAACTTTCTGCTGCATCTCAGCCTCTGGTGCCTCAAAGACCCGCCCCCACTCCACCTGTTTAACCAATCAGGGGGGGTCCCCGCCTTGCCACACCTGGATGACACCGCTCCTCCTCTTCTTCTTCTCCTCCTCTTCTTCAACCTCAGTCCCAAACCTAGCAACAGCCAGGAACGGATTATGGAGCCAAGATGGCGGACAGCTAGCCAGCCCTGGACTACTGTACAAAAAATCTGGACCGCTCCGCCCAGGAGCCTGGTCCCAGTCGGACCGGACTGAGAATTCACCAGAACTGCACTGAAGCAGCTGCTGTTTCTACAGACTTTCTTTCTTTATATCTAGTTCAGTCTGGAGACAAAACTCAGCCAATCAGGCGACTGCTCTGTCACCAAACCAGCCAATAATATCTCCAGAACACTTACACATACTTTCCGGCTCTTCTGCAGCGAGGCTAGCTGTGATATATTAGCCAAATCCTCAAAATATCTCTCCAGCCAGCTGGCTGGAGTTAGCTACCCTGAGTTAACTGTGACGTCAACAAGCCAAATACTAAATACGCTTGTTACCCAATGTGTTCAATATTTTGTATTGCTAGTGTAAAGCTCAGCTAATAATTACATTATATTTTTTAAATCTAATGGTTGATAGCTAAGCTAAGGAAGCTTACAATTTCATGAGCTAATGCTAATTACTACAGTCACTAATGAGTCACTACCCAATCAAATATTCATTCCTCGTGATCAACATTTTGTAAAATTAATTAATTAGAATTGGCTAGCTAATTACCTTTGCTAGCTAACAATGCTAGCAGGCTTACATGGTTATAAGCAAGTGCTACGTAGCAACCGTGGTTCCAAAATGTAATACTACTGCTAGTGCTGTTGATACCGCTTAGTTAGTTAGCATTCAGGCTAGTTTACGAGCAGTTGCTAGCTAACATGTGTTAAGATCACAAGGTCATAGCTAATGCTAGTTAGCTGCAGTGTTTCCCAAATTTCATACCACTGCTAGCATCACAAAATATATGCAGTTAGCTAGCCAGTTTAATAGCTAAGCTAAGTAACCTTATCCACCATTCCATTTGAATGTGCAAAATGTAACCACTATATTTAGCGCCCTCAAATTAATTGTTAAATGCTAATCAAACAATGACGTTTAGCTAACTGCTAATCGTGTGTACTGAGAGGCGCCTCGCTCTGATTGGCTGGTTTGAAGACAGATCGGTCCCTGGAAGCGGAGCTTACACTTGAACTCTTCTCTATCTGTTTCCTGTCTCTGAATGAAGCACTGGTGCCGTCTGATTGCACCTCCCCTCTGCTCAGCGCTGTCATCGGAATGTAACGCACCCCCTGCTGTTGGGTGCGCTCGCTCTCTTAACTCCCCTTCTTCCAGAATTGTAAAAAAAAAAAAATCACAGTATGCAACAGTGTGTTGAGTGCAGAGCTCCTCTGGGTTTTTACTTCCTGAATGGATCTGATTGGTACGTTGATGTTTGAGACTTTCTGCAGGGACGGTACGCTCTGAACCCTGAACCTTTAACCCTGATCCTTGAAACCTTTAACCCTGAACCCTGATCCCTGAAACCTTTAACCCTGAACCCTGAAACACTTCAGCACTGTTTGATCTCACATCCGTGACCTTCAGGATCTCCTCTGGAAATCTCAGGCCCCGTCTACGCGTATGCAGATATTTACCTCTGGTCCCTGTTCACACTGGAGCCTGAAAACAACACTTGTCGGGCCAGTAGGTGGCGATAAAGACTCCAAAATATACGTCAAATACCACAGAAGAAGATTCTGCAGTCAGCTTAATTTACGGTTTAAACTTGATGATAAGTTGAGACGTAAAGTAGTCGGAGCTAACAGAACGTAAACAAACCAGCAGTCCGTTGTTGTTGTTGTTTACTGTTGCATCAGTCTGAGCACCAATGGGCGCACACGGATCGAGGAGATGACGTCATCGTTTTGAAACACAGTGAACGGAGTTTAGAAAAGTCACAAAAATCTTAGTTTAATGAACTAAAACTGTTTGTGGACGAGAGACCAAAACGTTTACGTGTAGGCGGGGCCTAAATGTCCAAGAGGACACACCCCCCCCAACCCTTTTTTTTAACCACCACTTTATTGGTTTTTGACAGGCTCAGTGTGTGACGTACATGCTTTTTATAATATAGAGAAAGATTCAAAGAGTCGGACTGATTCTACGGAGGTCGTTGCTTTTATTTTGTGGATCGATGTGTAAAACGCTGACTCATGTTTCAGCGTGGACGAGGAAAAGTGAACTTTTAGAAAACCAGTGAAGTAGAGAGACGACAGGAAGTCACTCTGAGAGGGAAGAACTACACAAACATCACAACCAGGATGTTTGTGACCGGCTCTGGATGCACTGAGACCTTCATTCATACTTTATATGAACTGTCTGCAGTGTTCTCCACACTTAAAGAAGTCCCTCACGGGGATCATTTTGTGCCATTTGATCGCTTTTCATGCCAAAAAAATGTATAATCGGTGTCTCCCTCTGAACTTAGTTTCCTGTAGAAAGAGGAGAACAAACTGTTCAGACTGAAGTTATTTTGAGACGCGAGAGCAGCTGAAGAGCATCACGTTACAGTCGTGAACTGCTGACGCGTCACTTTAAAAGTAGAAGAAAGTCTCCTGATAGTCTGAAAAACATCCATCGTCTCATGTTTCAGACTCAAACCAGCACCGAATGTTTTGCAAGTCTCTGATGTCACTTTAAAACATTCACCAGGGAGCCTCATCACTCAAACACCAGAACAATACGTCTGGATTCATCTGCCGCTGAAAATAGTCCGCGACAAAGTCACTATTTCCTCTTGTGTTGGCTCAAGAAGTGTTAAAAATACATAAATACATATTACAGAACAAATCAAATAAACATAACAAATAAAAACCTGGAGTTTTTTTCAAGATTCAGTACTTTATTGTCATTTCAACAGTTAATAGGAATTTGCTTTCAGGACTGCAGTGATTCACTTTTTTCAGTTCGTTTTTGTTTATGACTTAGTTTCATATTTTAAATGATTGTTTTGTCTTTAAAATATTTCTCAGATCAAATGAAAAATCAAAACGCAGGAAGAAAAAATAGAAAAATGACTGAAAATGATTGTTTCAAATGTAATTTACAAAGATTTAAAACGTGGTGCTGCTTCTTTTCCAAATACACAAACATAATGTGAAAAGACACAAGAAGAACAAGTTCATTCATTCATCAACTATTCAGTTCTGAAGTCTACAGTGTTTAAACAAGTCAAACTATATTTTTGTGTTAAAGATTTACGTCTTCAGTAGGAACCAACGAGCCTCAGACAGGAAGTGAGACGTGTTTAGAGACGGACCAACATGTTGGTTTGAGTCTGAACATGAGATTTATATTAAAATATGTATACAAACATATATATATATATATATATATATATATGAGATAACACACGTGAGCAGGGCCGTAGGTCTACAGTCACACTCGAAGCTTATTGGTTCCTACCTGAGAGCTCTACTGTGTGTGTGTGTGTGTGTATGTGTGTGTGTGTGTGTGTGTGCGCAGCCTGAGAGGTAGTACTCAGGGCTGCAGAGTCTCACTTGCGGTTCTTTATATTTATAAACCTGTTAAACGCTGAGAGTCTTCTTCATTATAATAAATTAGTTCATCTTTTCTGAAATGTAAACATGTTATCTGTGGTAATACTTTTCTTTATTTCATGATTAGATCTGAGTCTGGTGTTTCTGATCATAACTGTAACTATGAGCCCAAAGTGCTGTGTTCAAAGGGCTGATTATGAGATGAACTCATTCTGCAGCTTCATGTGACACTTTAATAAACGTCATCAATCAGTGGACACGTGTTTATATTTAATAAAAGTGTGAACGTTTCTCGTACGTACGACTGACTTAAATATGAATCATCAGAATCATCTTTATCTTTATACACACACAAGCTAACATTGAGGAAACTAAACATGGATGTATTTTTAACTTTTTATTAAATATTTTTAACTTTTTTCCATTTTTATTCTGCGCATATAATGTAATAAAACTAAATTTAGTTTTCAATTTATTCTAAGTATTCATTTTTTTAGACTTCCCGCTCCCGTGCGTCGTGACGTTTACTCTGCGTCACGTCACGGTACGTCACATCCGGGGCCTCGCTTCCACGCTCCACGCCCCGAGCTGTCATCATTTCAACCGGGAGAGGCGAAGGGCATCCGGGATAAACGGCCGAGAGGAGAGCCGCTGGAACTAGTTTCTCTCGAGGTAAGTAACCGGGACTTATGAAGACTTAATACAGGAGAGTCTGGGGGTCTGGTTTTTGACCACAAAGAGACGGAACCGGGTCTAGTTTAGAGACTAGCTAACGTCCGTCCTGAGGAAAGACAAAACATGCTAGCATGATAGCCGCGTGCTAGCTAACACACACACACACACACACACACACACACACAC